GTTCTCCGGTGAAATATCTCGACGCTCCACGGCGAGAAATCGAAGAAGAAAAAAAAAGTAGCGCAAATCGAGCGTAGCTCCGACAACAAAGACGCCTCCGTCGTGCCGGTAATCGCTCGCCTTCTTTCTCTCCCTAAGTCTCTCTCCCTCCCTTCTTACCGTTTCTCGCACGAACGCCAGTCGCGATAGAAATATCGCGAGGAAACGCGCGTCCAGGCGTTAACGATGAAAGAGAATGAAAAAAAAAAGAGAAAAAAAAAATAGAAAATGAAAGAAGCAAAGAAATTGAAAAGAAATGTACGAAGAAGAGTTTAGAGATGAAAAACGTGGGCGTCTCTTGTCCTCCTCTCTCTCTGTGTTTTCTGTAGGTCGACAAATCTAAACGCGTGCGGCGAGTCAGTCTCGACGCTGACCCGTTGCAGCCCGTTGAATCCGCAACTACCACCACCACCACAACCTCTTCATCAACCACCACTTCCTACGCAAGTTACCACCCCCGCCACTGCCACCTCGGAGCCGGTCCACGAGCAGGCCCCCCCGAACCGTGATCGTGACCATCACGCGCTCCACCTCGATAATCGAGATTACGAGAGCGTGTTTATCATAGAGAGGCGGAACAGTAAGCCTAACCTCCGCTAACCACACTGAAAGAAATACCAAGTACTACCACTGCTACTACTACTACTACTACTGCTACTACTACTACTATTACTGCTACTACCATCACTACTACTACTACTACTACTACTACTACTACTACGTACCCGAGACAACGGTCGCTCCCGAGACTACGAAAAGAATAAGATCTCGCCGACGGTATACATGTATGTGTTTGTGTGTGTCTGAAACACCTAATGCCAAACGATCCGTCGATCGGTCAAACGATCCGATCGATACTCTCGTTTATGGTTCGTCGTTGATCGATCGAGCGAGCAATTGCCACTTGCCGCTGGAACATAGCCGTTACCAGTACTACTACTACTACCACTACTTACCTACTGTACTACTACCGCTACTACCGCTACTACTACTATTACTACTACTACCTACTGTGCGAGACTACAGCTCTGCAATGTTACCTGCTAGGACCTACTAATCTACCACTACCATCTACTACTATCTACTTAGGATGATTGTCATGACTGTAGATGAGATCAGCAGTACAGGCAATACAGCTAGGAGTCACACTAGTAACATCCAGTCAGTACCCTAATACCTTCGTTCGGCGGACTTAGGGAGTACATAGATAAAAGTGTATCGAGGCAAGACGGTAGATGTGTTTAGTAGCTGAAACGATTCGTTTTTAATGAAAAGTATAAATACATATTACGCTTGTGAATGACGTGCGTGCGTGCGTGCGTGCGTGCGATTCTCACACGCATGCACGTCGTTCCTCGAAACACGTTGCTTCTTTTGCGCAATTGTTCGAGGTCGGCGAACGAGGCTACTGCGCGTTATTGCATTCCAGAAATGAACTGTCTAGCGTTACGCGTCGAACTCCACTTAATCGATGTTCATTCTCGATCTCGCCTCGACCAGCATTCGTATATCGTACCCATAGTTCACTGTATTCGTTTCACGTTATGTTTTATTTTCTATCTGTCAGTCGCATAATATTCTCTTGCGCATATACTACTGTCATCCGCCCTTCTTTTAATCCTCGTTTTCGTTCTCGTTACATCACTCGCTCGTTCATGTTCATTCACCTCGCTCACCGAAATCACGATCACTTTCACGTTCACTTCAACTCTGGCGGTCTGTCGTCTCTGGTTGTGCCACTCGCTCAATCGATAGACGATACCGAGGCTCGGAGCGAGTCGATGGTTCTCTCTGTCTTTAACGTGGCTCATGGTTCCGAGAGGGATCGCAACAATCGCAACATTTGTACAACATTTACAAGTCGCCAGTCATTTCTCGACGAACCATCGAGTTCGCTTCGATTTCCCTGCTCGTGTAATACAGTTCCATGAATCTCGCGCAAAATTTCTATATCAGTAGATGCACCGTACCGAAGTACATATACCTGTTATCGAGAATATTCATTCGGTAGTTTGCTTCGTTCCTTTAAAAATATTTCGGGCCGATCCTGGCAGCGAGACGGTGGATCGCAAAAGTGTCACGTCGAAGAACGTCGAAACGGTGATTCGTCGATGACGTTACAACGATAATCCACCGGTAATCGGCCTCGGCTATACATATACACACGTATTCTCGCCTGATGTACCCTTTTTCTGTTCGCGTTACAGTCTCGATCGCGAAATGTAATCGATCGAGACACGAGAACCGTCGCAGGGTCGGCCCGGCCCGTTCGCTTTTCAATCTTTTTCTCTCACGTAGCATGTCACACTTGACCGAGCATGCCAGAAGAGAAACGCAATCGAGCTATCTTGCGATAGTAATCAGGGTGCTTTCCAACGATCGATATTTTAACCGAAACTTTCTGTGTTCTTTTCCTGTTTCCAGTCTATCGATTTTAGACGAGCCGTAAAAAGACGCGATCACATTCGAACAGTCGGACATAAGCAAACGAAAAACATAGGTAAGCCGCTATCACTGCGGCTCTACCCCCGAATTGCATCCAGACCACGACTATCATTGTATATTCATGTTAATCGTTTATACGACGGTCGTCGTTGTACCAGATTGCTCAAACCCTGTGTCCCTACGACCGACGAACATTCTTGTTTCGATGTGCTTCGCCTCTCCCCCTTCTCCTACCACCAATTCAACCCTATTCCCACGGATTCGTTGCTCGTTGTCCGTTTTCAAGTGGCCGATTAACAATTTTGCTTTATTTCTCGCGAACGGTCGTTCGAAACACATTCCTGGGAGTATGTACGATTTTTGTTCCGGCTTCTTTCTGTATCTTCCATTTCGGGACGATATCTCGCGCTAAAGAAGAGAGAAAAAAAAGAGTTGCATCGTCGCGAACCGCGAGACAAATACACCCGGTTGGGGAACACGTTATCTATTTGCTCCCTAAACACCACCGCCTAGAAGTAACGTTCGGTTATTTAGCGTTATATTTCTTATCATTATCGCCACGATATTGTTTTTTGTGAATGTAATCGTTGTGTTACAACATTCTCTCTCCCTCATCTTTCCTTGCTGCCGGACCCGAAGGAGGAGTAAAAAAAATGGGGAAAAAAAAATTTTAAAAAAAAAAAAAAAAAAGAAAATAATTTTGAAAAAAAAAAAAAGAATAAGAGAAAAGAGAAAGATCCAGTCACTGGCAACGCCCACCCACCCACAACCCACGTCACGCCCGACCACTCGTGCACCGGAATGCGCATGCGCATGTCTCCCCTGTCTGCATCCGTTATTCGTTATTCTATGTATACGTACACGTAATTGATTCTTAACGATTATCTTGTACGTTCAATTTGTACGTTTGCCTTTCGTTAGATTGATTTAACTAGCTCCTTGTGTTTACTTTATGTTCGTGTTAACGTTACGTGTCTTTTACGTCGTTGTTGCACGTTCTTGCTGTACGGAGGACGGTCAACGTCGTTGGAGGAGATCGACTGTGTGTTCCCCGATAAACTGCATTTCGGGTGAACACTACCACGGAAAACGTTTCTTCTCCCGGTTCGCTAAGTATCGTGTCTCGTCGACACAGAATCGAATTAAATCGCGACCAGGAGTTCTCCTCGTCGAGTGCCTGCTTTCTATAATATCCGAAGGACAATACAAAAGTATAATGGACACAACGACGGAAGGCCGATCGGAATACGATCGAGTCGAAAAATGAAATATTAAGGACGAAACACACTGTACCCAGAAGAGAGAACAAGTTTCGGTTACCATGCAGAGAGCACAAGTTTAATTCGGTACTGTTGATAGACGAGCCAAGAATTACCTCCGACGGCGTTGATCCTGACACCGACCCCGCCATCCACCACCGCTACGATCTGTCTAACGCTCGTTCTGTCCTACCCCCGTAGACCTAGAAAAAGCCGAGTACCAGGTCTAAATCTCCTGCGGGAGATCCTGACCCCGGATACACCGGACTCGTGCCGTGGTAGGCCGCTGGGTAAGATCTCCCGCGCGGCCGACGGCCGATTCGTCGTGGCGGACTCGGTGCTCAGCTCGGCGAACAACAGCATCATGGACGCGTCGAGCAGCGACGACGGTGGGTTCCTTCCGAAGCAGCGACTGAAGTCTTCGTGGCGGCGACCGCTGGTCGGCACCAGCCAGCTGAGCCTCAGATCCGAGGGTAGCGGGGTGTCCATCAACGGGGCTCTGCCGCCATCTATCCATCATCGCGGAACGGTGAACTCGTTGGCCAGCAGGATCATCGCGCCGGCCATCTGCACGATAGCGTCGCCCAGATTTCTGGCCAGTTCGCCGAGCGGCACCCAGGTGCCCTGGACACCGTTGTACTTCAGTGATCTGAGCTCGGTCAAACAACCATCCTCCGTTGAACGTTCGTTTCCGACGCCGCCCGATTACCTTCAGCTGCGTAGCATGCATCAACGGTACAGCCAGGAGCTGCCCTCGCTGAAAGCCATACACGCGGAGTCCAGGAGGTTTGTCCCGGTCCAGCCTTTGGCTACCTCCTCGCCGCCTCAGCCTGCCGGTAGGCCGAGGGCGAGGCTTCCGCCTAGACACGCGAGGCACGCGAGGTCCGCCCCCGAGCTGGCCGCGTCTCCCGATCTCGAGACCTCGCCGGAAAGCAGGTCGAGCAGCTCGGGATTCGGCAGCAAAAACACCTCGCAGCAGAATCAAAGCTCGAGAAGCGGCAGCACCGTGGCCGAGTGGCGACCACCGCCTTACAGGCCGCCGCCGCCACCGTTGGTCGGCCGATGGCTGGAGCTTCAAGATCAACCGAAAGTCGGTCACACACTAATACAGAACGCCGTGGACGCGGGCAGCGTCGACGGACACTACGAGTTCGATCCCGTCTCGTGCACGCCAACGCCCACGTCCGCCTCCACGCCGACCAGAGAGGAAAGACCGCCGGTGCACCAGATTCACGCCATTCACGTGCCGCATATTCATCAGGTGCACACGGTGCATCATCAAACGCCGAGATACAGCAGGGACAACATCGAGGCCAGGGTGCAGGCAATGAAAGCCGAGTTCCATCAGTTCCGACAGCGGCAAGCGAGGCGAAGGCAGAGCGCACACTTGGAGAGCGCCTGTTGACGGCAACTGTTTCCTAGTAGTAGGCCACGTCGTTGGATCGTACCAATTCGATCGTCGGATACGTCCGCTTCGGGACGCGAGCGCGCACCGGTCGACTCTACCTGGGACAATTTTACGATCAGTTTACGATCAACGCGCGAAGGATATCCATTTCCCGGGTGGGAGCAGACGAATGCGAACCGAGCCGGGAGCAAACAAGTCTCGAAGAATCCTAGTAAATCCCGGCTGTGACGCAATACTCTGCGAAAGCGATTCCAAGCGGACGTCGTCGTGATTATCATCGGAGACCAACTGTTAAAGCACAACGAGGATCATCGTACGCGCCTACACTGTGGGCAACTTTAAGTCAATTCTACTTCAGCTGGGCAACCATCTGCAAATGGCTGTTACAAGCGTCAGCTCAGGATACATAAATTTTCGCCAACGCGACAACCAACGTAGTAGAACCTTAACGCGTTAAGGAAATATCGTTTCGGATCTGATCGTTAACGGACTCGCGGAGGAACTCGAGACGAAGATCGACGTTCCCGGAGAGGCCAGCGACAGACGCCGGATGGACACGATACACCAGTTCGACGATCGCGTTTTTGATCGCGTACCGGGGCGCGTACCAACCACGCCTACGTCCGATTCGATGGACTGCGATTTTTAGCGACGGTATATTATACAAACGGGGGGAGGGGGGGGTTGGGCGAAGATACGAAAGCGCCGGAAGAGTTCCAACGAAAGAAGGGGACGTTTGCTCGGAAAGAAAAATTTACCAGAGGGTATTCACCGAGCGCAGAATCGGTGAAAACGGAAAGTGCGAAGATATTCTGGGCAGAAACGGTAAGACACGAGACCGCATGACACTCCAAAGAAACTGTACCGTGCTCCGTATACCTTTGAAGTAAAGAAACAAAGCGACACGTAAGATTAAACTTAATCGTACACAGTAAGTGATAATTAACGAAAAGAGAAGATAACGAAAAAAAAAAAAAAATGAAAGCGAAGCAACAAAAAAATAACACACGTAAGATAATCGAAGAATTACCGTACACACGCAGGACACACACATATACACAAACACATACATAAATGCGCACACAGAGGACACGAAACACAGCGAGAATGAGAGAGAGTGTGCATGTATGTGTGTGTGTGTGTGTGTGAAAGAGAGAGAGAGCAACAGAGACACGTAATACATACACGCACACGCACACACACGAGAAACTGAGAAAAAGTAATTATATCGATGAGCAAAATGGACTCGTGAAACGTGATATTAGGCCGAAGCTTGCCTCGAGATTGCTTAAGGACTCACTCGTACTGCACTGCCTGTTTAGGGTTTCGCTAGCGACCCAACATATTATCGGCACAATAATTTTTCTTAAGCAACGTAAACGAGAAAATAAATAATGTAATGTTCTTTGAACGAAGGCGCGCGCGCGCGCTCGAGCGCTCGACCGAACGGCCACGAGGCTCGCGTACCACGCGCGTGCACGCCTCCCGCGATATCTCGAAACCGCTCGCCGTCTTTTCTACGCGTAGAACCAGCGTGATCGGAGGGGCCTCTCTCGTTCGACGAGCATTCCTCGATTTCGCCACGCGAAAAAAGCTTCTTCAGCGACGAACTGCCAACCGAATGAGACTCGTCGTTCCGTCTGTTCGCCTCGACGGCGAATCGAGGTCGCGGCGGGAAGAGGTCTTCCTCTCGAAAATCACGTAAACACGCCAATTCGTGCACTCGCGTCGGGAGCATCGGCCGATCGGCCCTGGTCCGTGCACTAGAATAACAAGAAAAAAATCGATTACACGCGCGTACACACACGCACACAGTACATATATATATATACACATATATATATGGGGGTGTGGAAGGGGGGGGGGGGTGGCCACACACACGTAAATAATCGACACAACACGCACACACCAACGAAAAGTGGGAGAGAAGAAAAAAGATGAAAGCGAGCAAGAGAGATACAAGCGGTTATGAGTATACATAGAGACACGCGCATACACTGAAGTGCGTTTTTCGAGAACCACCTAAAAATCTCACCAAACGTATCGTATCGTATCGTAACGTAACGTAACGTATCGTATCGTATCGTATCGTATCGATTCATCTCGAGCCGAGGCCGAAGCCCGTGGACGGGCCAGAGAGCGTTCGATGGTGATACACGGGCTAATTCCGATCGCACGTAGAACGAACGCGACCTAAACCGAACGTACGAGTGATCGTTGTGTAAGTTTTTAAACGTTCCGTCGACAATTCGAGTTTTCGTCTCCGTTTGCCCCTCTTCCGTTATACCCCCTCGCACTTGCGTTCACAGCGAATAGACAGAAGAAGGAAGACACAGACGATCGAATGCTCTCGGGCCGCGGCGCCACGCGCGATCGTCTCCGCCCTCGACGTCTCGGCGTTTTACTTTTTCTTTTTATAGTACAAAACACTTATTTATACGTGCGTATTATACATAATTATATTATATAAATATTAGCAAGGGCCCTACTCACGATTCAACTATACTACGGACGCACCGTGATAATAGCAGCGCAGCGTGCAGACGTCGCGGACGATCTGTAAAAGTTTTCTGTTGAAATGTATCCGAATGCGCGCGCGCGCGAGCGAGTGTGTGTGCGCATGGCCGTTAGTGTATGATTGCGCGCGTGACTGTGGGTATTTGCGCGAAAGTAAAACCTAAGCGAGACTGAGACAGAACGGGAACGAGTGGCGGAGAGATCGTGTAGATATATAACCCGAACAGAAAGACGAAGCGAGCGTAAAACTGGCCGCGAGGAAGAATGCACGCGCGTGTGACCGACGTTAAGAGACACGCACGCGAAAAACCTTACCGGATGCGTATCGACGAGAACGCGGGGACTCGACGCCGAGAGCAACAAACGCGGAAGAGAGATTCGAACAGACGAATGGAAGGATATAAATAAATAAAAAAGAACAAGAATAAGAAAAACGGAGGTGACGCGAAAGAGTACCAATATTCTAAAGTAATTCTAATGGTTGACTTAATAATTTGATAATTAATTGATATTGTAAATTGTAAACGACCGTAGCGTGTAGCGTATTAATCAACGAGAACGACGAACGCGGCGACGATTAATTCCGTTAAATTAATTACGTATTGCCCGGGATTACGAGATTAACGATGAACGACGAACAATGAACGATGAACGAAGAACGAGGGGCCGGCGCGCGATCGCGACCACGCCGAAACGTTCGCGAATAGATCATCTGCCGATTGTATTATAATGATCGCGTTCGGGGAACATTGCCCAAAATCTAGCCGTGCGTGCACGTAAACCACGCGATAACGTTGACAACCAACGTCGCTGCGACTTCGGTATCACCGTGAAAAGAAAAAGGGAACGACAGATCGATCGATAACCTTTTTGTACGTCGAACGGCCGCGATCGACTCGAATCACCCGTTGTTCTCTCTTGGTAAAACTCGACGAGGAAACGTTATCGCGTGGGTAGAGACGAAAGACCCCGTTTCAAAGGACATCGGGAATGTCCCGGTCGGGCACTTTGGTGAATCGATGATTTTCCCGATTCTTCTTGGCCCCTCGATTGTTTAGACGCCCGTCGAAATGAGAGAGCGGAAGAGAACGAGCGACGGAAAAGAAACCAACCAATCGATATAGGCATATAAGTAACGTGTAGATATATCATAGTTAGATACAACGATCTCAAAAGGACGCGCAGAAAGAGAGTGAGAGAAAGAGAGAGAGAGAGAGAGAGAGAGAGAGAGAGAGAGAGAAAGTATGAAAGATCGCTAGATCGAAAGGAACAGCACAGAAAAGCATCTTCAACGATCGTGGGTGCCGCGAACGAAGAAGTTCGAGCGTTATAGCGTAACGTAATTGATTTGAAAGTCTCGCTCGAAAAGGCAGAGTAAGAGTATATGTGTGTGTGTGTGTGTGTGTGTGTGTGTGTGTGTGTGTGTGTGTGTGTGTGAGAGAGAGAGAGAGAGAGAGAGAGAGAGAGAGAGAGAGAGAGAGAGAGAGAGAGAGGAGAGATATTTAACGAGGAATATTATATATGTGTATACAGTATACAGAGATCGAGGCGAAAAATCCGATATAGAACGAGAGAATGGACAATGGTTCCGCGCGATCGCGTGTTAAGTGAATAATATGGTTGAATCGTGAATTCGTTCGTGTAACGTTCGTCATCAACAATCATTATCGATAACTTCGTTTTACGTCTATTCCTTTCGTTCCGCAAAAGGCCTTTTCCTTCTCTATCATCCCCCTCTAACTCATGTCTTTCTATTTCTTCATCGACATATACTTCCTCGACTTCTACTTCTTCTCCGTCTACCTCGAGTCATCGTCACGGCTTTCTTTGCGTTCGCGATAACACCTTCGTCGCGTTATTTATTTAGAATTCGAGCGAGTATGAACTTACCGCCGGATATGGATGAAATTAATTTAGGTATTCGCTCTTTACGTACCTGAAAGCCATCTGGCATAGCGTATTTTTCAGAGTCGCGAGTGAAATTCTCATCCATCGGAGCAGAACGTTCGCGAATCACCGCCGCGCATTCGAACGAGCAAAGATCGTTGACGATCGGTAGGGATCGCGCGCGCGAGAGTGGATCGATCGGTTCGCCATTTACGTTTACGTTTACGTTTTCGTTTGGTTACGGTGGCGATCGCGTGAACACTCGCGAAAATGTTCCGAATAATCGCGAGGGCCGACGTGCCACGTCGAATCGTTCGATCGATTTCCAATGGTCCTCTCGGTACTGTTGTCGACCGCCTCGCCGCGCCATTCGCGATCTTTTCGTTTCGGTCACGGATTTATTCTGTTTCTTCGAACGCAAGCCTTCTTTCGATAACCGAGAATTCGATCGCACGACAGACCACGAATCGTGAAATCGAACGTGAAACGACCGCGTGCCCCGATGCCGGTAACGAAATATGGATATACTTCTTTTCCGAGACGAACCATCGTCCTAGTATCAGTTACGAGTTTTTCGACACATCGGAACCCATCGAGTACACCGGGTACATATTCGAATAACGTCCAGCATACGTCCGATCGGGCACGTACGTTTCGTCGACGAAACAAACTCTTCGAGTTTTCGTTCGCCAGTATTTTCTCCGTTCGATCGCAGAACACACGTTCACGCGCGCAACAAAAACTTATCCTTCGTTCTTATAGACGCAGTATTGGTTCGTCCGCGAAATTGCTTCGATAGCGCATAAACACACACATACACACACCGGCATACATTCGCATTTTACACACAGGCGCGCTCAACGATAACGTTCTTCAGTACCGTCGTCTATCCTCACTACTTTCGCTTGTCGTCCCTTTTCGTCATGTACGCGCGACACGAAACAAAATGAAACACTCGAAAAAGAAAAGAGCCGAACCGCGCGGGAATTCGAAGAGAGAGGCGCGTTTTCGTTTGTCAACTTCGCGAGTGCTCGCCCACATTCACCTCCATTTTTCACCGTTTTACTGATTGACCTATGCTTTTCTCGCGAACCTCTCCCCACGAGAACAACTCCAAGACGTACTAACCTAGAACAAATTGTAGACAATTTATTATCAAATAAAATGAAAAATAAAGCGACATTTGAAAGGAAACAAGGAGAGAGTGTCTGTGTATGGGATTATATCTACGTTCACTCCAGTTCCCTCTAGGAGTACATGCGATTCGCGGACACCGACACGATTCAATTGCAAACATACAAGTAGTATATATATATATATATATATATATATATACCCAAATATAAATTACTTTGCGAAATTATACGATATACGCGCGTCGCGCTTGTTCGGTAATCCAGGTATCGAGGTATCGAGCGAGGTTCGATTTACATTCGTAGGAACTGAGGGACGAGGAGCAAGACAGCTCTCTATACGTACTAGTACACGTTGCCCGGCTTTTTAAACGGAAAACTATACTTATATCTATAGTGTATAATATATTATATTACCGTGTATATATATATAATATATATACATATATATGTATATATATTACGTTAGTACCATACGTATATATATATATACATAATATATACATATACATATACCATAGTTTATAACGTTCAAATTTAATAAATACAAACGTTATTTTAGAAAATTTGCCTCTCGTGATATATCCATTGAATGACCCGTAAATCGTTGGCCCCGGGGACGCAGTCGAGCGACTACCAGCGATCAAGTTCGAGTTCTGTCGGAGATTCTACGGATTTCCAAGAGTCCCATGGGACGGAATTGCCGGGGCAAGGCAGTGAGATTAATTGGCGACCAATGTCGGGTCCTCGTAACCAGGCCAACGTCTTGGACTGTATATTTTCGTCGGGATGAGACAAGAAACGTGGAATCTCGGTCTGGCCGTAATTCACGGAGAGACTGCGTGCGGGTCGCTATTAAACGCTCGAAGAAGGGAACATTTGCGCAACGCGTCTACGGCACTGATTACCGGGAATTACCGCAATCTCCATGATTTCCCTCGATACGAAGTGTCGCGGGTTCAGAAGCGTTCGCGCGCGCGACGCGAAAAATTGGAGCGACGCTGACGACGGTCCCTAGCGATAAACGTGGAAATGTCTGGGTCTGTGACAAGGCTTGCTACCAGATGTACCGTTGTGTGCGAAAATATTGAATAGATGAAGCGAGAAGTTCGTGATTTCAGACGAATATTGAGAACGATGAGATTGAAGTGTGGCGAGAGACTCGTCCTTCGTAACAACGGACGACGATGCATGGAAGAGTCGCGCGGGAAGACCGTTTTTCGTTTCTTTTCTTTTTTTTATTTCCGAGGATTCATGGAGTCGCATGGCAGGTGGATCAGGAACAAGTCGTTGGTTCCCTTCTATGGCACGTCGATGAAATAATACGGTCGGTATCATTATGCACGCATTTATTTCCAGTGTCCCGGGCACGTCCAATCCTGGATCGTGATCCATGCGAATGGATCCATTATCTCAACAGCGTGACAAGGCTGTGGGCAGTCTGCTAATGCGGTAAGGGACGGATGTGACGTAATCTGAGGTCACCCACGCAAATGGCGCGCGAATCTGCCGGCGACGCGGCGGCTGTGCAGTTTCGTCGCTGGCGTCGAGGCTTTGTCGCAACAGCCCGCTGATCGAGACTCGATGATGCGACAGGAAAACGCTCGTTTGGCCGATCAATCACGCGGCGGTACTTCGAACCACTGGGAACCACTGGGAACCATCCGATCGTTGTTTCGTTTTCATCGAAACCTGATTTTTCGATTCCTCGCGCGACTCGCCACAAATTTCGTGGAGAACCACTCGCTTCATCCACGTTAACGTACACAAAACAGGACCGTGTGCCATAATAATAACGTCTTAAATTGACGTCGGCGAGTTGTGTCGCCTCCTTAATTCCCTCTGCACGTTGATTTACCGAAAGCTTTTCAGACGGAAAGAACGTACAGTTTTTAGGGCGCGAATCTAGAGCCGTGAACTCGACGAACGTGACACAATGGTCAAATATCCGCGGCCGGAAGTCGGCGTCTTCGTTATGAGAGCGCCGCGAGCGGTAATTACGCTACGTGGGCGGATAAATAAAGGGAGGGATCGTTCGAGCAGCCAACTACACCTATCTATCGCGCGAACCTTTTTGCGTCTCGATTCGAGGCAACGTTCGGCGATCATTGATTAATCGAGTTCGATAGAAATAGAACAGGTCAATAGCTGCGATTGAACAGATGAAAATTGAAACAGCTCTAAATTTAGGCCCATTCGAGAGCTCGGCCGTGCCGTGCGTCTCTTCAGCTCGTATGCACGGGCCGGTTTATCGAACCTTTAACCTCTACTTGGGCCCCTTAATACTCTCGAATCGGCTCCAACCACGAAGCATTGCCGTTGAAAGGACTCGGACTCGACCAACTGAATGCAAGGGTAATTCTTCCGTTCGACGTTGAACGAATAGAAGCAATTCTATGGCGAGTATGCAGGCAGAGTTGTCGTCGAAAGCGTCTAAGACAATACCAAACTTTACAGGGAACAAACACAAGGGTGAAATTTTATTTCTCGTTAGTTAGATTTAAAAATCTTCAAAGTACATTAAATGCGACGAACATGAGACGAATTAGAAATTTTAAATCTAGAATTCGTAAGTTTAACAATACACCCTGAAATTCGTATATCGTGTTCTTATAGTCGAAATGCAACTTGCATAGAGTGGGTGTGTCGGTCGGTAGGGAACGCCGCTAGAAAAGCGTGTTCGTCTCGAACACCACGAGCATAGAAACGTCTGGTACCCTGAAAGAGTCTCCCTCCCGACGAAGACTCTCGATACCCCTTCCCGTTGGTCAGCTCGTTACCGCTGCTGTTCGGCGTCGTATCCGCTCGGATTGAGCGAGGCGGAGCGATTACTCGGTTATCACCGCAACCACTGGACCACTCGGTGAGCAAACGTTCCACGGTGGGCCAGCTCGGCGGGTTGCACCGAACTATCTCCTCCGTGTCGCTCGATTTCGCGGCTCTCGATAAAAAGACGTCATCCGTTGAATCGTCGTCCTTGGATTCCGTCTTCCGTGAGGATACGAGGAAGGGGACGGAGGGCTAAAACTCGGGTATATACCTGATATATTCGGTATTTGTGATCGTGTAGGGGTGATCGTTTGGTCGGGCCAGTGGTGATTCTCGAGAGTAACACGCAGGTAGAAGGAAGAAGGGGAACGGGAAGGTGATACGGCCGAAGGGAGGCCGAGGATGTTTCAGTGCTGATCGGTCTACGGCCCCGTACGCGAGAGTGCTGCGTGCCGATTAATTGTCGCAGGTGGTGGCCGATGGTTGATGAGTGTGGGTGATGACAGATGTGTTTTGTGACCTGCTTCTGAGATCGCGTGCTCGCGCGTTCACCGCGAGACAACCACGAGACCGGTGAATAGGCGAAACCTAGCTCGGATAAACAACAGGGGGAAAAATGTCCGGAGCTACGAGGATTCATCGGCTGCTGGGGGTCTTGCTCTGCTATCAAGGTGAGTAGTTCTCTAGTCACGAGTCATAGAGTCTCTAACGACACTCGAGCGAACCCCTTTCGTGATTCCGAACATCGTTTGATATTGAACTTTGCGTTCATTTCCCGCGAACTTGCTTGACGGTCGCGCGTATTACACGGGAAAATTAGCCAATTTGCTGGAATTGAGACGGTTCTATAGGTATTGCCGGTCGTCACGCGCCGATTGTTCCCTCGTTTTGTCGTGTTTCACACGCGGAAGACAAGTTCCCGTTCGTAAATCGTGTTCACCTTCTTCTGTTACAGCTTTCAGCTACAGCTTGATACTGGAGGAAGAGAAGGAGCCGAATTATCTTAACGCAGGCGTTGGAGAATACGCGGTGTTCAATTGCGATTTGGACTTTCCGCACGAGACACCGATCCCGTACATTCTTCAGTGGAACCGCGACGTAAGAGCGATCACAATTTGTCTACTGAAATAAACCACTGAATTATGTCCCACCGAATCTAAGCCGACCATAATATCCTCGCGACTGGATCAGGGGACAGCGGGAAGAATCCACTTTTATCACTCTTTAGACAGCTTCGTTACATTTACACGTCTCACGCGCGTGTCAAAGGTTACGCAACGCTGATAAATAATGTTGTTTCGATCGAGACACTGAAGTCACGAGGGTCGCGTTGGTTTACGCGTCGAGAATGCGGTTTGCGGTCGGTCGAAGACCATCGGACAGGTTGGTTAGACGATCGTCGAAAGAACATCAATAGGTTCATCCGAGGAAAGCTTCGTTCTCGGAAGCATCGGTGCGTTTGATACAAAAACTTTTATTCGATACGGAATATCAATAATACGCGAAGACGAATTCGATGGCTTTAATAGCTACTATTTAGTAGATACGAATGGCCGCACAGAAGTGTGTTCGCTAGATGAATCGCGAGTTATCAATCGGTGATTAAAAATCGTCGGATTGCTTAACGAGACTCGGTAGTTTGCTAATCCATGCTCGAAGTTGCGGCTGCCGAAGTGCATAAGCGAACAGGTTAAACCACGTAAAAAAGTGTCCGCTCAAGGCAGGGTAGGCGATTCGATTTCGTCGGGGTGAATATCTAATGTAATCCGCGTGGGAAGCAAGCGCCACGCGGGTCTCGATCTGGATTTCCGTCACTCGAGTCTCGATTTCGAGACGTGCGCGATATCGTCGACCACATTCGAATACGATAGCAATACACGGTTGCGATTGCACAATTTCGTACAGCCAGGCTTCGTCGACATTCGAGATTCCCAATTTTCACGTGAGAAAGTCAAGACCCCGCCCCTTTACCTTTGAACAAACTGGAACTTGTTTAACTTTGAGCGACACGTGTGGAGTATATAAGAGAGAATTTGCATTTACTTTCTTGTTTTGTGGGCGGGATACCTATGTAAACCATCTTGATTGAAATTATCATCCGAACGTCAAAAGTTCATCCCTCATCACTGACCGGGGAAACGTCTCTGAGAGAGCAAATGTACAGGGACTCTAGTTGGCAGTGCAACAAACAATGTAGCGTTAAAAAGACTGTCGCGTTGATTTCCTGTTCAAAGACTAGGTGGCGATATTCTTTCGCGGATGTTGCATTCGACGCGCGTGCAGCCGCACGCCGGAAACAGATAGAACGTTGCACATGGCTACCGCATAAAATCAAGTGGAACTTAACCTGATTGGTCCCTGATGCGTATGCAAAACAGGTGCTGGTTCCCTCTCTGTCTATCGAACGCGGTAATTGGAGTACGGGACGCAAGGCTGCATTATATCTAGTGACGGCGAGTCCGCGACAGAAGGGGTCCAACCAGTGGGTCACTGCTAACGCATTGTCAGACGATTAGGGACGATTAGCAGCCTTTTCGCCAGCCTCGTTTTGACCGCGAGGCCTCCCCAGGTTGCACCGTTTTACATTTTCACCGGAGGACGCACGTGTCGCGTACCGCGTTTGCAGTCTTTATCGAAGAGACAAACTGAACACCGACGACGAGTAAATACCATATATTTTAGAACAGACACGACTGCACCCTGTCAGGTGCTTTCGATTTTCTCAAACGTTGACACGTTCATGCGACGGTTATGAAATCGGTCGTGTCTGGATGGCCTCGCGAAGGCAATCAAATTAACCCGGAAATGTTCCGTAACTTTATTCAGCAGCCACGCTTAATAATACGTCTACAGACATAGGGAGACAAATCATTCGCGTTTTACGGTTATAGCGTGACTGGGCGACCAATTAACAAAGGGGGATGAACCTGTTGGCGGCGCGTCACCAGTACGAATCATCCTTTGGTACCGGAAGCGAATTTTTTTTTACATCGGGGTCCTGGTGTCGTTTCAGGGTCGAACGATCTTTTCATGGTATAACGGACATCCGTCGGTCGGTCTAGGCTACGACGGACGCGTTCATCTTTTAGAAGACGCGGTTAACCGGGGATACGGCCAAGGTAGCATCAATCTCACGAACATCCGCGAGAGCGACCAAGGATGGTACGAGTGCAGGGTGATCTTCCCCAACAGGACGCCCAATTCCAGAAACAATGGAACCTGGTTCCACCTCGCCATAGATGGTAAGGTCGCTCACTTTCTCGTATCCGTTGATCGACTAATTCGATAACAGCGAGTGGCGAAGGAAATTAACGTAGTTAACCGCCGACTGACTAACCCTGTGCACTGAATTGGGTCACGCTGGTGTGCGGACACTAACACTGGACGAAGGAGAGGCTTATGCCCGTGAAATCTTGCCAGATATTCGGCAAGGATGAAGTAAGCGTTTCAAACCTAGCTAAGATTTTCTGCCAATTCTTGCGATCTCGGTTCGAAATCCTCGAAACGATTATTGTCAGTCATTCCGTTGCATTTGAAGGGATCGTCGTAACGTACGATGCGCAAAAATTACGAATCGTTCTAACAAAAAGAAATCGGCAAACGTTTCGAAATGACCGAACGCCGAGGAAACGAGTATTCGTTCTGACCCGACCCCCATTCGCGAAGCGAGATTAGAGTCAATGATTCACTCGTTAACCCAGACGGAATTCTGGTTTTTGCTGGTGGTATTCTGTTAAACGGTAATGGAGAATTGAGTCACCGTAGGGAACTAACGGCGCAATTGACCGTAGAAGATATCAATCGTGAAACTACCGGCCTCCCGGTAACACGAATTCGAGACCCTCGAACAATACGATCCTCTACACAAAGGTGACACACCCTTTCCCGGAAAAGTCGAAAACAGCAGCACCCGTAGAATGCCCGTCGTACCTCAGTGATTCGACATAATATGCCTCTGTCACGCACCGATTCGAAATAACACTTGCGTTATGCGCGCTTGATTTACGCCAATAACGCGTCGATTAACCGGCACCAATGCGTCTTGAACGGTTTACGCGTTGCACATCGATTCTCCGACTAGGCAAAATTAACGAATTATAACAATTAATCACGCTCTCGCCGCGCCGTGCAACCAAATCGATCGTACGAACGAATGAACGAATGTAATCCCGCTGCTGCTTACTAACATGAACCTGGGCAGACTCGTTAAATCGTTCAACCCAGGTGCGTCGCCGTTTGGGACGTCTGTTCCAGGTGAAAATTGGCTGACGATCCCGCCTGTGAACGAGACTATCATGGAGGGAGAGTCGGTCAGCTTCGATTGCGTCGCCAAAGGGGAAAAGTCCGTGGTGAACTGGTTCCGCGAGGGCACAGAAATCTCGATGATCGAGGTAACGCAAACGAAAGAAATTATGTCTATCCATCGAACGAACGTCTAAATGTACGTAACATTTACTCGTTTGCGTCAGGATTTCAAGAGAAGGGCGTCCGTCTCCAAGGATGGAACGTTGACCATCAACTCAGCCGCCATGGGAGATCTCGGAGAATACACCTGTGTGGTGACCGGCGAGACTGGGGAGAAACAGAGTGCCTCGGCTTTTCTCAATGTGCAGTGTGAATATCCGCGAAAAATCTGTCGAAGCATAGGGATTCCGATGGCTTTCAGTGAAACGGAACATTGAACAATGCTCTTGGACGTAATTGTCGATAATGATGACCATCGGAATCTCTATGAGCAATAGTTTCGGACGCATAGTCGCAGAGACTATAGTTTCGATTGATACGTCTTACACTGTTTCAGTCAAGGCGAAAGTTATCTACGCTCCCCGGGAAGTCTACCTTCCATACGGAAAACCAGCCCTTCTGGACTGTCATTTCAGGGCGAATCCACCCATGACGAACCTACGTTGGGAGAAGGATGGGTTTCTCTTTGACCCGTACAACGTTCAAGGAGTGTTCTACAGGAGAAACGGTTCTCTGTCTTTCAGTAAAGTGGACGAAACCCATTCTGGAAGCTATACCTGCACACCGTACAATGAACTGGGTACCGAAGGACCCAGTCCAACCATCACGGTGGTGAGTATTCCATTTTACCCCTGCTGGAAGAAATATAGCGTGGTCGCAAAATCACCTAGGAACTAATTATTAATTATTATTAGGAATAATACTGTACAATCCTGTGTCTTGCGACATCAATAGAACCTACTAATCGAGTGTCCACTTCGCGACCGCACTATATCGTTTCCACCAACTGTACCAACCACGGTCTATGCGTGTGGTTGACGTCCGAATTCGTCGGCGAACAAAGGCACAGAAGCCAAAGCGTTGTAATTGAAAGAAGCATGATCTATTTGGTTCAGCCACCCTTGAATTCACCGGTCAAAAGTAGTATGCGCTGCAAGAAACGGGACGATACAGTTCAGACCATTGACCGGTTACAGACGAGTGTTAACCATTCCTTTATCGTCCAATTAGAATTACTTATTGCCCGCCGCACATTTTCAGACCATTTAGTCCCAATTCGTGAACAGATCCTAATCTCTTTACAGATCGTTGAAAGGCCGCCAATATTCACGGTGACACCTCAGAATTTGTACATAAGGAAATTGGGCGGGACTGTGGAGATTCCTTGCGACGCCAGGGATGGTGACCAATCCCGTCGACCGTCGATCGTCTGGTACAAGGTACTGATCGATGATTTACTTATTCCTCACAGTCGAATAATTCCGTCGTCTGTTTTTTCAGGACGGCTCACCGATTTCCCCCGAGAGGACCATCATAATCGGTGGCAATTTAACTATCGAGAGGATTCAAGAGGAAGACAGAGGACTGTATCAATGCGCTGCTAGCAACGAGATCGCGACGGTAGTTGCAGACACGGAATTAATGGTCCTGAATGTTCCACCGCGAGCACCGTACAATCTGAGCGCCAACAGTACCAATCACGCTGTCACATTAACCTGGGTGCCGGGATTCGTGAGACCAAAGACGGAGTATTCCGTCTGGTAACTGAAGTTTCAAACGACCATTATTGAAATCGTCGAATTTTTTAATATCGCTTATGCCTTAACGATACTTACCTAACGACAACTATTTGTAATTAGGTACAGACCTACCGACACCACGGAATGGAGAACGATGAAAATCCTGTCGAGAAAGATCACCGAAGCGACCGTCAATAACTTGAACCCAGGACGGGAGTACGAGTTCATGGTGCTCAGCCAGGACAAACACGGCGACGGGATGTTCAGTAAAACATTACGAATCTTCACACAGCCACGTGCGTGCGATGCATTTCTGTACCTTTCGGAATGTTCGAAATTTTAGAATGATAACGATGCTACGAATTTCAGATCTAATCGACGAGAACTCTGCATCGGAGTACCGTAGCCCACCAGGTAATCGGAAACATTTTAACTGTATATTTGAAATCTGTTTTGAGATCGCGTTGGTAAATATTTCGATTTCGTAGACGAGAGAATGGGCCCGCCAGTAAACGTGAGGGTACAGGCGACTGTAGAGGGATACTTGGTTACCTGGGAGCCTCCTGCTTACGGAAAAGAACAAGTCAGACTTTACGGCGTTAGATGGTTCCGTGGACCGTCCGAACGACTCTATGGGAGAGCGGAAACGACCGACACTTACTACCTAGGTATAACCGATGGAAACGATACAGCGTGGTCGTAGAATAGACACTTGGCGGTGTGAGTCGCAATACCCTTGATGACACCTACCACATTTTTATCAATTTTTTTTTTATCGCACTTGTACTTCATTTCCCAGTCGATTTTACGACCATGTTGAATTTCCTCCGTCGGTATATTTTGCATTTTAGTCCAAAACGGTTCGTCTTTCCTGTTTTGTCTGCAAGAAAATTGCTTTTTCACACAACATACGATATTAATTACTGTTCAGTGAAAACTCTGGAGGAGGAGAGTTACTATACGTTCGAGGTGGCCGCCGTGTCGATCTCGGACGACATCGCGACGAGCGAGCGTATCAGCCTCGAGGTGCCAGCCTACCGTAGGAACCGTGCGATTTCCATGGGAATCGTGGCTGGGATTGGCTTTTTGGCGGCGGCCCTGGCCGCCATATGGTGGGCAAGGAAACGTTTCTGTCAGTCGCCGAACGAGAAATAGAAGAGTAATCTCGTGGTCGAGCTTACTTAGCGACGAGCCACGCGTGTATATCGTACACGTTGGTACGGCCAGCCGCAATAAACTTCCCTAACGTAGACGTTATCGATAGCCCGATAGAGCGCGAGGAGTTTCGGTTCGTGATTTGCAAGTCGATGTCGCACGAACTTATAATCGTTACGATTACGTATGTACGTATGTAATATAATATCGATCGCGTAGACACAGAGAAGTAGACGTGTGGAAGGACGATGAGAACCGAGATGGAGCAATTCGGCGCGAGGAATTTCTATTTGGGACGGTTTAATTTACTCCGTTTACGTACATATAAGTTACTACGAGTGTTCTTGCATTGCATCGTTACATTATGTATCGTTTAAAAGCTTTATTAGATAAGTGCACGTTTATTAAGGATTAGTTCTGGCATTTGATCGTTGTTCGGGTACCAGGCTGCGAGAGACGCGAGGCGCGAGTTTATTTAGCGGAGAAAATAGCGACGCATCTCGACAGCTGGGAACTAGCTCGGTTGGGACTATCTATATGTATACATCCGATACGTTTTTCTATTGTAAATAAATTGTGTCGATTATCTATGCATCAGGCGTCTCCCCTCCGTCTTCTGTTCGAGCGTGTTACGCAAGCCTTCCAAGGACAATTACCAGTTTCTCGTGCGTATCGATATTTAGAGTTTCCAATAATTATTCCGTTGAAATTTATTTGGTTGAACCTTAATACGGTAAGTGCCACACGATTGAATAAATATTATTATAGTTTGGTTCCCTGTAAGATATTATAGAGGTGACAAGGTTCGCACGGGTCTTGCGAGTGTGCGGTCGCTAAATTGTTTAGACGCGTCCGGTGTAATCCGCTTGCAGTCGTTGCATGTTTTGTCTACGAAAGACCAGGATCACGAAATACTGGCTATTCTTTACAGCCATGGAAACTTGATAGGCTTCGTAAGCGGCTGACCGATAGTCAATCCATCAGCAGATAGTGTTTCACTAGTCAACGGTGTGGTTGGGACATTGAGACATGACACCGTCCCGCAATGAAACAAACATACAGATATCGTTAAAAACATCTAGAAACTGCCGTATTGTGATTTAATCGCGATTTTAGTCTTAGATAATTCGAGGTGAGTCGACAAACAACTCGCGGTGAATTCAGACGCGAACGCGATGCAGCCAATTGAAAAATAAGTATGTGTCTATAATGTCTAACGCGATTTGTTAGCGATTTTATGAGAGGAATATATCTAATTGTTATCGATGACTGTTGGAGATTAGAGATTGTTAAAACAAATCGGATATCGATCTTCAAATCGGGTCCAACGAGCGATGCGTCTGAGCAGAAAGCCTTTCGACGATTCTTTTTTTCTGTAGGCATTCAATATCAGGTATCGACGAGATATCTACATGTTTACACAGAAACACTCACACTTATCTATTGTAAACAAGTCTCTAACTCGACCAACCGATCAAAGGCTAAAGACGGAGTTAAGAGTTCCCACATTTTTCGACCACGCGTTTTGTTGAACGTGTACACATTAAGATGACAGAGAATGTCTGACCACTCTATGATGTTTGCCCACCGTGAAAAAAGGCTTTGAATAAATAATCAAAATATTTCAGCAGGGTTTAGACGCGATGCTAAAAAAATCCCTTCGGATGTTTCTTTCGCGAAGACGATCTGTTCGACCGTTGCTTTGTAAGCGTGTACAGGGACGATGAAATCGCGAGGTAGTACCAATCGCATGTATACATATACGTAGTATGTACCACACGGGCAAAGAAGAGCGGATAAATACACGAGGGTCGGGCACAGTTCACCGGAACGGACTAGCCGGGTCAATTAATAGACAGAAGCCGCCTGCTGGCGGCTATTCGCAGTCGTAGCAGACGATTTTGCCTGGCAATGAAGAGATCAATGGCTTTGAACTATACATATGTATAGATGAAGCGACACTTTGGAGGGGGGAGGAGCTAGTCACTTCCGTGGCTTCTTACCTGTACAAGCAAAACTCCTTTCCTCTTCCCACGTGCTTACCCTTAGTTTTCGACCGAGTGCCGTTGCAATCGCCTCCATTCGACCGCGACGAGTCACGCGCCGTTAAAATCCCAATACAAAGTGTACCGAAAATTTTGGACTGTCTTATTGTGAGCGACGTACGCATTTGTGAGAAATTGCGTGTGTTCGTTCGTCAATAGGCAGAGGAAGAAAATTCGAATAAACTGACGGGGACCACAGAAAGATAGTACGGATCCGCGGTACAAAATTAAGAATTTTTACCCGTCGACAGTAAGCTGACCTTGGCTCTGTTTCTGAGAAAACCCAGTTCGTCGTAACGACTCGTCCGGTGTAACGATAATTATGTGCATTTACCAAATGATTTCTTTTCTCTTCTCGATGCAAAGTGTTGTTTCCCATGGACAGATCAGTGACGAAAGAGCGTGGCGTCTCGATCCATCGATCGATCCCTGAAACGATAATCATTCCTGACGAACTCGGCCGTATGCCCGTGTCGCGCCGCTATAATAAAATTAGCATTACGTAACGCTCGCTGGACGGTCCGAAGTCAAAAACCGATTCGCCGTGCCAAAAGTTTGCCTTCATTCTCGGCGAGTTGTTTGTCGAGCGTGGCGGCGTTTAAAGACGTCCTTGAGGAACCGGCATCTTCTTACCATCCGCGGTGGTTCAAATGTCAGCGCAACAACAAAAAAAAACAATACTGGCGTCGCGTCTTGAATTAACCGGACTCCTGTGTTCATTATTAAGGTCGGCATCGCCCAATTGCTAAGAATTTCTCGTCTCCAAAACGCTTCGTGTTCGTCGGCTATCATTCGACACGTGTGTAACGATAATGCGTGCACGTGTGACAATTCCCGATGGAGCCGCCATCTGGCCGAAACGAAACGTAGGTACGCACGCGTTTCGAGGGTTCGAGCCACAACGCGAGGCCGACGTTTCGAGTGAAGCCAAACGACGAGCGCGTAACGATTCGATCGGAGTTCGCGGTAGTTTGACGGTAGTTTGGCGGCAGTCTGCGGAAGATAATGGAGGTCCATCGATCACGACGGAGGTGGAACGTGCCTTGGCCGCGGAGATCGCAAGGGAGAAAATCCTCGACTCGACGCGGTGTCGAAGGGGTGGGGTGGGGTGGGGTCAAGAGAGTCGGAAAGGCGGCCGAAGGAGAGAAAAGTCTCCCCGAGTGGAGGGGATGCGGCCAATAGGACATATTAGATGCAGCCTGTTGATTCATCGAACGCGGCAGTAACAGCCGCACCGTACAGAGCGCCGCATACGGGTCGCGAGGTGATTGAGCTGCGCCGGTGATCTCGTTAAACTTGCGCTCAATCGCTGAAATCGGCGGTTCGTGACTGAAAGGGAATCTTCTTGGATTCTGTCGACGCGGGGAAGCATCCGCCGCGGGAAACGTAAGTCGATCGCGGTAAGCAAAAATGACTCATCTATCGGAAATTCTCCGACGACGATCCGTATCGTGATCTTCAATTTCCCATTGCTCGAGATTGTCTGCGAGTTTTGTCGATAGCGACCGTGGATTGTATTTTTCTCAACTTTTGTTTTCTTGGACAGATTTATAAACGGTCTTGTTTCACGAACGCCGCCGCGCAATCGTAAACGGAGCTTAAACGGACGGGATACTAAGAGGGGATCGGTGTAACGAAGAGATACGGGACGAACGGTGTTGTCACTCTGCGAATGCTTATCTCGAAAGGAAACGGGCTGCTAACAAGGAAACAATTTACCAACGACGAACAACAAAATCATTCTAGATGCCCGCCATCGCGCCGGGGAACCTCGTGTCAATTGAAAAGCTAGCCCCCGTTGATTCTAGCCAACCGATCTTCTGTCCCGTCGAAACGAATGCGGGAAGAACCACCAGTTTTTTCATTTTCGAACTGTCGCACGCGATACCGTTGTCGCGGTGCTGTCAGACGAGCGGAGAAGAAGAACGACGAGTCGTGTTAGGGAAGACGAAATTGCAGGTCAAAAGATATCGAGAAACGAAGGAAGAGACCGAGTGATTATCGCCACGGGAGCGAACGAGCTTCCCTCGCGATAGAAAGAACGCACTCGTTGGTGTCTTTTATTATAGCAAGGCGGTGTATCATACACACCACGGAACGGTGAACCGATAAATGACCTCTCGTTGCTCGTGCATCAATACGACTGGACATTTACAATACAGACGTCAATAGCTGCGACAAAGCGAGTAACCGAAGTATTTATGGTCGGCCGGTTGGATGAGCTGTCTCGCGCGTTGAAAACTTTCCAAGCTCTCGCGAAATCGATTTGCCTCGAAACACACGTCACGATCGGAAAAATGAATGGAACTCGATGAGTCGGGACGATAGAAAAAAGGAAAGAACGAGTTGCATAAGCGGCAAGTCATTCTGTAAAAGAATGACAAATCCAACGTGACGGTTCGTTTTCGTCGACCAACGGCAACGTCTCCCTGATGCACGGCCGCGATCAAGCGCAGGAATTTATCATCGTACGACTTCTTTTGAGCCAAGTGCATAAGGTTTCCTCGAAAATAGGAACACGCGATAAACTCGACCTATAAAAATCGGACATCACGTTCCTCCCGATTTAACATCTTCGCGGCGCGGATAACTCAGCCGGGGATAGAGTTCACTGCAGCAAAGATAAGAGAATGTTTGTTATGAATGGAAATGTCATTGCGACGGAAAGAATAAGAGAGAACGATCGTTTGGCACATGACAAACATTCTTGTGGTCACAGGGTTTGCGATCGAAGCACAGGATTGCAAAAACAGGTCGTAAAGGCAAATTGTCGCGTCAATTTCCGATTGCACGATTCTTAACGAAGCTTATACGCGCATAAAAATACTTTACGAGCCACGTTGATCGAAAGAATATGAAATTTAACGATTCTGTAATTTGTGCAAAGCCTATACGAGATATTTACTATTTTATGAAACGATGAAGCTTCGGAGAATATCAATCGTGCGTATCGGAGTCGTAGTTGCAGGCGTCTCTTACGGATCATAAGCGTTCCTTTCAGGTAAGTTACGAGCGATTACTTAAATAGTCGGTAGTAACGTCTTCCTGGAGAATAACTATGCTCGTCTAATTATAAACTGCAATTTGTTAATGAATCCCTTCGGGTGCTTATCATTCATCTCCTAATCACTCCCACGAATGTCAATCGTCTGGTTGATTGAGACAGCTCGATGGTTATTGCATCGCTAACTAACTGCTCTTTAAATACACACCTGTAGCAAGGCGCTCAATGCTTCCATCTCGATTGCATAAATTCGTTTACCGCGGATTAATCTTTGACTGCCCCGGATCCGTATCGGGAAACAAGGAATGGATAAAGGATTACGTTGGTTACGAGAATTTCATCGCTAATTAGCGTACGCGAATCAGAGCCCGGCTTGCAAGGAATGAATTAAGAGAGTAACGAATCGTGACCATTCATGTCTGACTTGCTCCATAGACTTTGGAAACGTTTTCGTTTATCGCTGATGTAGGATAGGAGATAAAACGATAGGATTCCATCCTCTGCAATCATTTTCTTCTAGACAACGAGTGCATCGCGATAGTAGAAATTTCTCACATTGTGGAACCGCTCAGAAAGATACGATTCGGCCCGCACGTAAAACGATTGGTATGTAGTCACCGCGAAACAATCTGAAGAAAATGAAGTCATATATGTGTCCTATCTCGCAAAAATACAAAGGAGAAAACCGTGCGATAAACTGACTAAAAAGTATACGACTGTGCGTTGCCCAGCATAATAAACATTTCCGGTCCGTACGACCTATGTTTCTCCAAGTTGCAGCAGCATCGTTTATACAACATAAATCGTAACAAAAAAAAACACAAAACGCAAACTGTCTCTCCGAGAAAAAGTCGGTACGCGCGCGATTCCAGGAACCGATTCAAGTGGAGACACGGGGAAAACTGAGGAAGCGTTTGGAACGAAACTCGAGATCGCGACACCGCCGAGTAATCGAGTCAAAGAGTATATAAATCGGGCTCCTTTGGTCCGTGCAGTCACGTTCACTTATAATCTCTTCGAACATACGACGCGACGAAGCGACAAAACTGTCACTTCCGTGGCTCAACTGGGAAACACGTGTCGGTGCTCGGTCAGCCGAAACACGTGACCCGCACGACGAAAGACGGCGTACAAAAGTGGAGCTAGTCCGCCATTGATTAGATACGCTTTATCTTGCTCTTCAGGCCTGGTAGTGTTGGAGCGCATCGACCGGAAAAACGATCCAACGGCAGTCCTAACCGGCGAGCGTAACATACCGTACGCGGGCACACGTGCTGAGGAGGCAACCAACGACGCGCGTATAGAATCTCCCGTCACCATGAGGCCTTGGACCAACAAATCCGTCGGCCTTGGACTCCTCGGTCTGCTTCTCATAATTTTCGGCTCGTGTCTGTACCTTTTCTGGCCAGCGTTGTTCCATCACATTCTTCAAAAGGTAGGCGACCCGCTGTCCGCATTCATACGCATCTGTGTCAAAATCTTTAACATCCAGAATCGGATTTTCAATTCAGCACGATGAATTCGACAAACGTATGTACATACATACATATGAACATACATTACGCTGATTTGAAATTCGATCGACCGGTTCTCGGTGATCGTATCACTGACTGCAGCTTGTATCTGAATTATTCGACGAGTTTTATGGTTTTCGAATCAAGTTTACCATCGTTAAACCTGAACAATACGATCGGCGAGAAGTAATTTATTTTCAATGAAGACCGCTGGCACAGCGTAAGTCGTGTATAAACACAGCCGCGATGCTTTTTTTGTTCTCATTCAGAATTCGTATTGGAAGCCCCTTGGTTCTGGGTTATCTCTCGTTTCGCGCTTCTATCGTATTTTTGTTCTAAATTCCTCCCGTCAATACTGTTCGAGATCGAAGCGCGCGAATCCCCCGCTGGCTTCCGACGCGGAAGACCGTTGAAACGAGAGGGAATAAAGTACATGCAACTTACTTAGACGCGTCTTCGTCGAAATTGAGCGACGTCGCGGATTAAAATAGAACACACCTCCGTCGATGGTCTCGCTCGTGTCTGGCCGGTACGATCAGACGCGATTGGAAAAGTGGTCGATTGTTCAATTAATCGACGCATCTATTCGTATTTGCGCGAGACGAATCATTTGCCCGAGACTTTACGCGGAGACCTGAATCGAAGAAATATTATGACTTCCTGGAAAGTTGGAACGGTTTCGAGAAATGCCGATCGAGCGTATTAACATGCACCATAAAACGCGATTAAAGATGCACGGTTTATTCGACAGGAAGTCCCGTTGACGCCAACGTCGAAGGCGTTTAGTGTCTGGAATGACACGAGCAGCCTGCCACCCATGTATATGAAAATTCATTTCTTTAATTGGACCAATCCAGAGGAGCTGACGGTTAGTGGGAAGAAGCCGATCCTCGAGGAACTTGGTCCTTACGTGTTTCGGTAAGCAAGATTTTTACAAACGCAGGTATATCTAGAACCGTGGCGAAGGGCACGCGTGTGATCTGTACGGCGAACGTAGGAGCGACAAGAAAGTTGAGGTCGTCGAGATCTCCGTAGGTGTAGTTCGCGAGGAGACTTCGTGGCAATGGCAATGACGCGACATAAAAAACATAGTGATCGGGTTTGAGTGTCAATTAGCTATACACACGTCTCGCTTCCCGTGGTACGTCACGGAAATCGAGGACTCATCGGAGAAAAAAGCACTATTGCGGTCGAAGCGGAAATTGTTATGTAACATCGTATGGTTGCTCGATGCAATCCGCGACATATCCGAATGCAGCAATATTCCGATATTCGCGATGAGAGAGAGAGAGAGAGAGAGAGAGAGAGAGAGAGAGAGAGAGATTGCGGCGTTGATTAAGGTGACACGCGTGTCGAAGGCACATTGCTCGACGATGCACCGTACCAGCCCGACGACCAGATGAGTCTAATCGATCCTTCCACGAGGGCATTCTAATAGACTGTCTAATCACGATAAGAAAGGCGTACAGTTAACCTCACGATATTGACATCTTAATGAACGAGTAGAACGTCTCCGGGACGGGCAGTAACGGGACGTGGGTGGCTCTTAAACGTTTTATAAAATAATCACCGAATTAATTACTTTCCCCTCGGTCGTGGACCACCCGTTTGCGAATGCGAATTGTCGCCATTGTCACCCTCGCGTGTGCCGCGTACATTTTTCGCAACATGTCCTTCGAACAAGCCGGTTTCGAGATTCGAGGATCACCTTGGCACGGAAAACGACACAGAAAGGATCGCCAATGGAGTCGACAAGACTATAAACGAGAAGATTTTGGGTGCCATTACCGAATCCGTGGAATGCAATCGTGATCATACTCGAGGGGAAACGTGCTAAATTTAGCGAAACTCGAAACAGGTTTTTTCGAAACGGCTGTTCATGCGTCCCAGGTGAGCGTCGGTTTTTCGAACGGACCGATACAGTGCACGTCTTCGAAACAGAACGCGCTCTGTCCTCCGTGGATGATGGTCTCCCTTTTTCTCTCCGTCAGCCTAGCGGCTAAACGTCGTTTTCGTCTTTAATCTCGAGACGGTTACGCAACAAAAGAGATTGCGCTGGTAACAATAAGGGAGCATTACGGCACGCCGCGAGATGCATCCGTACACTTAGCAGTCGGCAATTGTCGCGTCAAATCTAATCAACGAGACACGTACGGATATGTAGGCTAAAGCATCGAATCACGGCTCTTTAATCGTGTCCGCGTCGTTTAATTGACCGCCACCGATGGAATTGATTCTAGAGAGCCGGAGCTTCTTAATTGCTGGTTACACGGTCCGCTCGCTCCTTTAATTCCTTCTCATTTTCCCAGCTGATTTCCAATGAGTACGCCCACGCACGCTACGACACGCTATGCGAACATTATGACCGTGCCAGAGTAAACAATATTGCGAAAACGTGTTCCTCGATTGCGTGCGAAACACATTCGTTTCGACTTGGATCAATTTTTTGCTTCATTGTGACACATTCGTTGGACATGACTGTTTGCAAAAAAAATCTGCATTACTCAACGCAAACATCGTAATAAGTCTTTAGATTACCTATAGCTGGTGTTGCGATTTAGGTGAAACGATAACACACGTGTGCTCGTTCGTCGCATAAATCCATTTTTATCGCGATCGCGACGAGTATCGATAACCTGTCGTAATCGTGACCGTGATCGTGAATGTGTTCGTAATACAGGCGTTCCCGCAATAATCCATGACGCTAAATTTCAATTGCAGTGAAATCCGGCAAAAAGCAAACGTAACTTTCCACCCCGAGAACAATACTGTCAGCTACTTGCTTCGACGGTGGTGGTTCTTCGAACCGGAGCTGACGAACGGCTCCTTGAGCGATCCCATCACGCAATTAAACACCGTCGCGATCGTAAGTAAACCTGTGACTCGCTCAGACATTATTTTTAAACGACTTTCAGGGGGGCGAAAGTTTGGCAGTCGATGAAGTATACAGAGCGCCCCACATAGGACCGGCTCCGCCTCGAACGATTCAATTTTATGTTCCACATAACGTCAGCTTAAATACGATTTCATATGCAAAAAAATGAATAGAGGCGCAACAAGGTCATTTGCAATATCTTTTGCAATGGTTTATGAATAAAATTAAATTTCGAAAGTGTGTCATTTACCAGATATTGCTTTATAACAGAAGAACAGTTTTTTCTCAAATATAATGTAGATTTGTATCTAGTTAATCAGCGAATGGGATCGATTTCACGTGGCACGCTCTGTACTTTCAATGAAATCTAATTCCTCGATGGAAACATCGTAAGGAAAGTTTCCTTTTCTTTTAATCTTTACATGTATATCGTTATCGATGCAAAATTGAAAACGTTGGAACGTCGATTTACTATTTCATTTGCGAATACGTTAGCCTATGATCTCGTGGAATTAGATTCGAACGCACAATGTTGCTAGTTCACGTGTAAATTGTCCCGCGCGTATTTCCCACGACGAAAAATGATCTATTTCGCGCGTGTTTCAGTCTGCGAAGCACAAAACACGATACTGGGATAACGTGCTGCAGAGCACTCTTTCGTTCATGTTGACGTCTTCGAAAGTACATACGACGAAAACTGTGAACGAATTGCTGTTCGCCGGCTACGACGACTCCCTGATCAAACTAGGAAGAGTGGCGGCGATGGGGGAGGACATTCCACCCTTCGACAAGTTTGGTTGGTTTTACATGGTGAGTCTCGCCGAGGAAGTCTCGAGTTTCGTTAATACCACCCCTCTCGTCGAGCCAGAATGATTCTGAACGTTCGACGACCTGCTTCTTCGCCGATCACTGCTGAGAAATTGTTTATTTAATTGTGTCGAGGGCGCGCAGAAGGTCGAAGATGCGATTTGCGCTCTTGCAGCAACGGCATTGCAGCCGACGATAAATTATTCGTAGCGTGACTTAAATTGGTACTGAATAGGACAGGTCACGTGTAGGTCGCTGAATGACGAATGAAAAGCAATGGGAGGCATATTATGTATTAATTTGTTACGTCACGAGTGCAACATTTAGAGTCGATTAATGCCACCAGTCGGAGATGGCAACCCCTTATTCGTATAATTTACCTCGAGCAAAGCAAATACGTCTCATAATAAATATTGTCCGAAGCGATAAGTCAATCGGTGAAGATTCCGATCGCCCAGGCTCGCTCGACCGTAGAAAAATAATTACAAGTGGTCTTATCTGGCGTTCCGTTATCAAACTCCACCCGTATTCCGAGCTATCTCAAGAAACTACAGCCCTTTACCAGATACGGATGTCTATCGTTACTTTTTTCTTCTTTCTCTCCTCAGAGGAACGGCTCCACGTTATTCGACGGTCACTTTAATATGGACACAGGTGTTCACGATATCAGCCAATTCGGAGTGCTTCGAAAGTGGAACTATAAGGACACCACCAAATTTTTCAAGAGTCCGTGCAACGTCGTGGAGGGAAGCGCGGGAGAATTCTGGCCGCCGTATCGACAAAAAGACGAGATCACGCTTTTCAGCGGCGACTTGTGCAGGTCGGTGAAACGCGCCGCTCCGCTGAAAAGAAAGGGAACGCCGGGGTCGATCGCTAATTAGTTTCATCTCCGTGCGCCAATTTGAACGTCGCTGAACCTTGAACAATCTTAATTCCTCAGTTGCCTCGTTAATCTTCGAGACACGCAAATTGGATCGTCCGGTAATCCTGTTTGCGAGACAGCTTCTTCTTCGTGGATGGAGTTAATCGGTCTGCCCTGCATTGCTTCCGAGCAAAACACGGGCCGTCGTAATTGACACCGTTCGATTCGATTCGGTTTGATTCGATTCGCGTTGGACGTATGTGAACGGGAATGAATCTCGATTATTTCATTGTGGAATTTCATAAAGTCAATCGACACGGCGGCGGCGCAACTTCCTCTTAACGTTCCGTTTCGCGTTCTCCACAGGCCTTTAACGTACGAATACGCGGAGTCGACTTATCATATGGGCCTGGAGGGCTACCGGTACATTCTCAGCGAGAAGACTCTTGGAAACAATACGAGGCGACGATATCCTCACGAACAGGCGAAATACTTTGAGCAAACCACCACCACCGAAGACTTCTTCGAAGCTGAACACTCTGCGGAGGTGACTGACACGCCGGAGGGGGATCCGGATGTTGTGAACATAGGGAACTGCTATTGCAACGGGAAATGCACTCCAGTCGGTCTGATGAATGTCAGCGCATGTCGCTACGGTGCACCCGTGTTCGTCAGTTTGCCCCATTTCAACAGGGCAGACCCGAGTCTCGGGGAGAAGGTCATAGGATTAGAGCCCGACGAAGAGAAACACGATTTCTCGATCACACTTGAACCGGTGAGTGCGCCAGTGTGTGTACACCCACGAGCAAACTCGGCTTCCGCTAGGGGAAAAAGTGACGTAGAAGAAAAGTCTTCTACCACTTAGTAAATTTATTTAAAGTACTGAAATAAATGTTAAATTCAGTGATAATTCAAGTGGTATGAAGTCTTCTCCCTACGTCACTTTTTCCCCTAGTGGAAACAGTCTGCTCGCGAGGATATAGTTGGAAAATTTTACGAACATCACTTAAAATTTCCGCGGCGATAAAAGACGATCGAAATGAAACTGTTCCTTTTTTTTTTCTCAGACAACGGGTATTCCTCTGAAAGTATCTGCGAGACTGCAGGTGAACGTACTTCTGGAATCATCGAAAACTGTGTCGTAAGTACGTTTCCCGCAATTAAAACGTTTCGCCGCGAAAATCGGATGTTATAGCATCGATGATTTCGTGCATGACGAGACGAAAGTCTCGTTGCAAGCGAAACAGGAACAGGAGGAACAATTTCGTTCATAAAAGGTTTGTGTTTAGGCTGTTTAAGGACGTGCCAACTATATATTTCCCAGTGATGTGGTTCACGTTGGAGGTCGAAGCCACCGATCAGTTCGTCAACGACTTGAAGAGTCTACTGTCGGTGTCCGACATGTGTATATACATCGGCGCTATTCTGGTCCTCATAGGATCTCTGATAATCTTCACCGTAGCACTGCTATACCTGGTGAGCAGGCAGCGTGCCAACTCGGTAGCCGGTGACAAAGTAATCGACGTTTCGTTTTATTTCATTTCGATTAATTCATTTCTTTCCCGACGACGAATTATTATGAACATTTCACAGGAGACGAAACCACGAATTATATCTTCCACCGGGAATAAATCCGAACTGATGTATCTGGACACGAGTGGCGGCAACGAAGACGGTCACGTGAGGAACGATCGTAGACTCTATCCCAGCTCGATCGAGTGCTTCAACATGGATCTACAAGCGAAGCTTCAACGTCGAAAGTAGGAAGAAATGGCAACGGTCGATCAATAGGCTCGACTAGGTTCGGGTGTATCCTCGACGAATTCGACGCGAGACGCGATAATCGAAGGACAATCGAAGCCTTTGAAGGCTGTTTTGTTGGTCGCGTCACGGAAATTAAGAATGCTTGTTACGTGGTGTTTAACGATGAAACAATGCTGCTGTGTTTGAATACTTTAGGTATCTCTGGATTAGGTAGTTCTTTAAATCAGGAAACGTGCAGATCCCGAAAGATGATCTTGTTACATCGATCGTAATCTATTAACTCGACAGATTTTCCTGTGATTCTCAATTGAATCGCTTCTCGATTCTTCGGAAAGTTCGGTTAGACGTTCTCTGGGCGAAGCATATTTGCGTTTCATCGTTCAAATCAGGAGCTATAAAATGCTACCCGATGAATGCTCGCATTAGTTCTTCTAATGTTAGCCAAGTCGATTCGTGTGTAACATATTTCTGCGTTACCAATCGACGTATCTCGAGCAATCATGACTGTACAAAAAAATCGATGACATTTAAGACTGATAGCGACTGATAGCGACAACCGTAACGAACGAAGCTTTAATTAGTGTCTACCAGTTAAACGGTTAGCCTTGCATGAATGCACGATGAACGCTTTTAGTGAGCGTTAACCAATTTTCGATCAAACCACGGCAAACAGGGTCGAGAACGAACCGAAAACTTCACAACGGGAAAACATTTGTCGATCCTTCTCGTTGTAAACGCGATAGAATAACTTTAATGGGACCAAGAGAAAACACAGTGAAAATTAATGAGAACAATGAATGGTGTCAATTCATAAGTGCCAAACTTGTTCTGTGAATTATTTCTGGTAACTGTACAGTTACGTTGACGATTAGTACAGGGTAAACGACTGTATCGCCGACATGAATGTTCCTCTTATTTCAAAAGATGAACGCGTTTGTGCCAAAACTGTTAGTAGCGATAACCGCGTTATTAAGGTTAGTAAGTTAAGGCAGGCGTCCTATTTACAGTGTTACTTGTTTTTCTTTCGTTTTAAAAAGATACAAATACTAAGGACAATTTCGATGCATATCGATCACAGCGTGATACGTTAATGCTTAAGCTACTACAGTCGATTTTAAATATTACGATTCGATCAAGTGCACTTGCCATGTAGCTATAATCCAGTCACGGGATTATGCTTGAACATGAATTGTTTAGCCAGTGCCTCTGGTCATCCTACAATCGTAAATTTTGTATTGTATTTTAATAAAAACTGTAAATTTTTCTTACATTAAACTTTACTATATCTAAACTTTTATTGAAACATATAACCCCATATTTGTATACATCAATATTATCGCTTATTGATTCAGCTGTTATAAATCAATATGTTCTAGAAATTTCATCGCCCTGTCCCATGGTCGTATCAGGTATAATTAGTGATTAGTAACCGAGCAGTTCGAGCGACTCGAAGGAGCTCGGGTGACAGGTTTATGATCTGAACGGAGACCCGAGGCTCTGGCACGCGAAGGCGAAGGATGTTATCTGGCAGCAGTCGAAAATTTGCAGTCTCTCGTGAGCTGTCAAGGTGGTTGGGTGTGTTTCTTCGTAGGAGTAACAACAGATTGAATCCGGCAGAGGACTACTGCAAATTATTACACACGTTTATCGTATGCCACCAGTAATCAAACTTTCGGCGTCAGATAACATCCTTCGCCTTCAACCAACTATCTAATCCAGAGATACCTAAAGTATTCGGCGTGAGAGTTCGGCCTCATTTAAAATCCTAAATTCAAACACAGCAGCATTGTTTCATCGTTAAACACCACGTAACAAGCATTCTTAATTTCCGTGACGCGACCAACAAAACAGCCTTCAAAGGCTTCGATTGTCCTTCGATTATCGCGTCTTGCGTCGAATTCGTCGAGGATACACCCGAACCTAGTCGAGCCTATTGCCATTATACCGTTGTCATTTCTTCCCACTTTCAACGTTGAAGGGCGCCACTGAATGTCCCATAAATTCCCTATTTTTCCGGCACTTTTCTGAATCCAAGATGGCGAAAAAACGGTGGGGTCAGAGAACCCCCGCAGAAGGTCCTGCACGTTTGTGACGACCCCACCAGTCGGTATATGTATATCCAAAAATATGATTCTGTTATTATAAAAAAAAATTGAACACTTACAAAATAAATATTTTTTTCAGCAGTATTTTCAACACAAACACTTGGCAAATAATACAGAAACAGAAAAATGGCAGCCTGAATAAGGCGCTGATCTGTTCACTCGTTACATTTCATTTTACTAAAACAAGAACCGGTGAGTGGACCATTATATTTCTTTACGCAACACTAAATAATTGAATATATCATCAAAAAACTACTGAGAGCAGCCACGTAGAGCGCTTATCACTCGCAACAATAATCATTTAATGTCGCTGCGTCGCACATATGAACAGACTGGTGGGGAAAGCGCGCTGGTAATTGACGCTCGTTAATTGATCAGTTCATGGAAATTTGGCCCTCTACAGCCCCGAGATGATCAATTATCGAGCGTCTACTGTACACACTTTTTATCATTGCACTCGCCAGTTACTTTCGCTTCTTCGCGAGTACTCGGTCAGACACCTTTGTCAAAGATTTCATATACCTACGTGAAAGTTCAGTGAACGCAATTGTTGCTGACATGGTCGAACGGGATGTGCATGGAATTTAAGCAATTAGTTGTTCAGTAGAATCAACTTTCCACCAAATGCATATTGTAGATATTCCTGAAACTCTTGGTTACAATATCGCGCGAGGAACGACTTGCTCGACAGCCGGTAAGCAATACTTCGTCATGCATCGATCGACGCTTACATAACATTTCTCGTTAACGTTAACGATTCTCAATCGTCGTGGTTCGAGACTCTGAGGCGCGCGATCGGAAATCGTCGTCGACAAATTTCCAATATCTTCTTGACCTCGATCGAGCGGAGCCATCTCGAGGTGGAGTTCGTTTAAAGTGGCACGACGCGACTATTTCGCGGCACGAGGTAAGCCAGCCACTCCACGATACCAGCGAGCCATTGACGTTACGATAGATATGATAACGCGAGGGCGGACGGCGACGCTCCGTTTTACGACGCACAGCGTCGCGAGTGACGGTCATCGAGAAAAATAATTCATGCGAGCGTGTAAACTGAATTATTCAGCGAAAACGACCGAAAGGGAAACCGTAGAGGAAAGTCCCTTGTTAAACGTCGATGACCACATAACGCCGCTAAACGCTACATGTTCGAACAAATTTAATTATCGCCGTGTAGTAGACAGTAATTACAACAAAAAAAACGTGCGTTTTTTTGGAAAGTATGAATACAATAGTTATAAACCAAGGAAAAATATGAAGAAAAAAAAGGACCGGATAAAATGCGGAGGCGTCGCGACGCGATCCAACTGAATAAAAATGAGACGAGACTGTTAAGAAAGCAATTTCGGCCGAGGATTAGCGCGACGCGCTCGAAAATCAATAACGCACGGAACATCGTCCCCGCGGATCTTTCAACCTTTAATTACTCGCATGGTCCTCAACCATCCGTATCTGTTATCGCAATCTGCCGGTATAGCTTCCTAATTAGATCGTCTTTATGAAATTCTGGTAATGGTTGACCCTCTGCGACTAGTTCCGCAAAGAAGCATATGTATATTGGGGTCTTACAAAACCTCACTCGAGCAATTATGCACAAAGCGAGGTGCAAGTAACTGGTTGTTAAAATCCTACGCTCTTTCCCGAATCTTCGCTCGCGCGTATATGGACTTTGAACTCGAGATTCCATGTTTTCGGAATAATCCGTATACGATAAGCACAGGTAACTGATGCTGATACGTGTACGCGTCTGCATATACATGGGGACCGAACATTTTTATCACTGATCAATATATCGTGGCGATGAACCGTTCGAATCTACCTGAAGCATTGTATCACGCGATGCATTTGAATTCTAAACCGTTTACGACACGGTTATTAGGACCAGCATTTACACAAGCGGATTTCGGAACGTCTAATTGTCACGTCTGCCAGGCGGTTTCGATTCGGTGAAGGGTTTTAAAGGGGATATCTGCGAGCACTCGAGAAAGACTGAGAAAGAATAAGAGGAGCAGCGGAAAGAAGCAAAGATAGAGAGAGAAAGAAGGAAGGGAGAGCCGAGGGGACCTTCGACTCGTGCGACAAAGGAGAGTATTCCCCCATTGTCTCGGGGAAACTCCCATTTTTCTATTGTATCTGAACAGCGTCAGCCCTGAGTCTGTCTGCGCTGCGCGTAGCCGGCATACGCTGGGAAACGCGCGAACGTGCACACGTATGTATTTAGGCATACGTGTACAGGCGCAAGCAGAGGACAGGGAACGAGGGGGAGAGATCGAAAGAGAGATGGAGCAAGTGAGACACGCAGACAGTGCCGGCGTCGACCTGGAAAATTCGGAATGCAACGATGCATTTCCATTTCCTCGCTCGTTGGCTCGCTTCGCTCTGGGAACGAATCAAGGACAAGTCCGGGAGTTACGACCGATTTACGAGCGGGTTCTCCGCGAGGCCATTCCGCGGAAGCGTTTGCGAGGGTCGTGGTCGGATCTCGAGTTCCGGAAGAGTATCGTTTGAAACCCGTCCCCCGTCGCGGCACACAGGAAGCGTGAACACATGGAATTGAAAATTCATTTCGACGGTTGGCCACGTCGAGACGACGATTCCGCAAGCGCTCCTCCAACTGCCATACAAATACGATATTAATGAAACAGAAACGGATCGGACGAGCCACGAGATTGTTTAAAGTCGCGCAACCGTAATTTTTCATCGTCGATTGTCGAGGACTCCAATTCGAAACGGTGCGGTTTCGGGCGAGAAACGAAAAAATATCGACGCGGGATTTTCAGTAACGTAACTGGAAAAGGGTGACGAAAGAACAGAATTTCCCAGGAGTTTACGCGAGGAGCGAACGTTTCCGGGTGGCAGCCCTATTTGTAATTCTGCTCGTTCCGCGAGCAAAAC